GGTCCCCGTCCCCGGTACGGGCTGTGGGAGCAGTTGGGATTTGGAGCGCCCGATGGACGTTTCCCGTCGCCGGGCGGCGGTTCCGGGCCGAGAGCGCAGGCAGTTTGCTGGGCTGAAGCTCCGTGTTTCTGAGCTAGAACGGTCCCTTTCCCACGCCTCCCCGCCCGCAGCGGCACGGCTTTGGTAGCGTGGCACGCAGCGAGGGCCGCGGGGAGCGCGTTTGTGTAGAAGTCTCCCAATTCTTAGTTTAATCCTTCCCCACCCCTTTAATTTGTTTGTTAGCTTGGTGAATGGACTGCTGCCATGGCGACGTTATAACTCAAAGTAGCTAATAAGGCAGAACTGGGAAGAGGAGCGTGGCCAGTACGAAAGGGGGGAAGGGAAAAGGCAATTTTAGGCACTGACGTAACGAGATGCAACCGGGAGAGAGAGAAGCCACAAAAGGAGAGATGAGGGGCTGCAGCCATTAAGGTATTAAGGCAGACTGATGCTTTGTGAGGTGGAAAATGTATGGGCCAGGTCAGGAAACGCATTCTCCTTCTCCCCCTTATGTCATTTTATTCTTTGAAAAGTCCTCGAGCCAGTTACAAATGCATGCAAAATACAGAGCTTTTGGGTTTTGTTTTGTTTGGTTTTTTACAGTAGAACAGGGGGGGGGGGGGGCGGCAAAGGCACTGTTTGCAGTATGTCTTGAAGATCAAAAAGGCTCGTGCTGCAGAGAAATGGCTGATGTCATTTTTATCAGTGAGGATCCTCCTCTGCACCCATGACACTGGCCTCCCAATGCAGCAGAGGGGCAATAAGGACTGGGGTCTCCAATTAAAATATTTTTAATAGGTTGTCATGAGGAAATGGGGCCTGACCATCCCAGCAAATGTCTAACGAATGAATTATATAATGAATATAACCTTCACTGCTCTAGCGATCCTTATGGTATTCAGTTATTGTTTTACAAATAGTGTGTTGGGAAAGGTTAATGTGGATTATAACTGCTGCTTAGATTGGAAGAACTATTCTGCCTGACTGCTTTAACATAAAACTGTATTGGCAGTCGTGATACCCATTTATAACTCTCAAATCTTTTACATAAACTTCAGTACTGGGAGTAGTTCCTGACCACTGATCCCTCAGTAAAGTTAACTAAATGCAGCAGAAGATAATTCTTACTCCATGGGGAAAAAGAAATATGATTATTTACGTACAAAAAAGGTCATGCCAGGATATAGTTCAAATTTTTGATGCACCATTGTCCCACAATCCACCAAGAACAGCTAGAGGAGGCTGCTGGGAGTAACATTATAGGGGAATTGGAGGTTAAAACAATTTTTAATTATCTGGTATTCCTTGCTGCCATTTAGAGGAAGAGGAAATCTCCTCCAAGCACTTCCCCTCCACTGAAAATAAAATACAAGAACTTCCAAGTGGTAATCTAGTTTTAATGAGTAAAAACATTTTCTAAGTATTTTCTTCTGGATTTACGATCTTTCTTTAGTTTCAACTTGCCTTTTAAAATTTCTTAAACATATTTCTTCTTTTGTTGTTGTTGCTGCTTACTTTTTGGGCTGGATCCCTCTCCTCCTTGTGCTTCCAAATTTCCTTCTCACTTGCTTTCCTCATTAACCTTTCTTTCCTTGTGTGTAGTTTTTTCTCACCTAGATTATGTGTAGACTACGATGAAGTTTTTACTTTATGTAATGTGAACAAAATATGTATAGATGCAGAGAACAACTGCAGTTCAGTGCTTGCAGGTCATAGAAAACACAGACTTTTTTTGCTAATACTTAAAGTTGTGGCATACCCTTGAAGCACAGACCACTGCTACACATGTATGGCTGCTGAGTTTGTTCCTTATCTGGAAGAAAAGCATGAAGGTGGATTTGGGCAGGAGTGATTTGCCAGTTAGTATGCCCTGAGCATGCAGGGTTTTCCTTGAGTAACATCCCGTGCCCAGCTTGGGTGGCACACGTCTTCAGCTGGCTTTCAAGGTCTGTTGCTTTCTTGGTTTTTGCTCGTGTCCTCTTGCACATGGTTTACCTTACCTTCTTTGCTATCATGCTTTTCACATTTTCCACTTCCTGTCTCCTCCCTTCTCAGGAAGCTGTTCACTGCCACTGTTATTGTAGGTTTTTCTCTTTACAAATGGTCATTCTCCATCTGAGGAACCTGCTGTTCCTAGGAGTCCTGCCTTCTACTGTTAAAAGCAAGGCCCCCCCCGACTTCATAGTCCTTACACAGGAAATATCTCCACTTCCTGTATAATATAGTACTATCAGAGGGTAATTATCCATCTTGTAAATACCTCAGTGTACACCAGAGAAAAGAGAAAGGTGTATGCTCTCCGGGAGATACTTCTCAACCACCAGCAGCCTTTTATCAACTAAGGGTCCTCACAGAAAACTGGTTTATTATGCACAATTGCAAAGCAAACTTTGAGAAGAGAGATAAAAGCACATTGGGAAGAAGAATATGACACGTTCCTAGTCAGCGTTGCACTAGCACTGCTGTAAACTGCTCTGTAGTTATTCACACAGCATTTACATTTTAAGTTCTCACTTAAAACTGCATTTGAATAGTGAACATTAGCAGAAGCAGTGCCAATTCTTTTTTCATCATGGTAAAATGCCTCTTTCTGTAACAGCTGGCATTCTGTACTTCTGTGATCTAGGATATCTATTCATTCTTAAAATGAATTCTGACTATGAAATAGAATAGGGAACACAAGCTAAGGCTTGGCTAAGAATAATTTGTTACGTAATTAGTACAACGATAAGAATAAATCAAAACCTGTATTCTGTCAAGCATGGTAGGCATAGGGATTCTTCTCATGTGTTTGCTTTCCAACCTACTGGTTTCAACTGCGTGTATCTTTTAGAATTTTTCAGATTTTTCATTTGTTTGAAAGTAGCTGGTTTATTTCTAGGAAGTCTGATGGGGAGAGAGAACTTCTTTTGATCAGACTGCATTTACAATAGCAACAGCGCTTCAGAAAATAAAATTGATAGCTCAGAGACCTGTACTGATTTGGAAGAAAGTCCTTGGTACCAATGCTTTGAGATTCTGGGCTGATGCAAGAGCTGTATGGAAAGCCAGAGTGTTTACAAGTTTTTGTGCAGCTGCTTAATGGGTGTTACTCTTAAGCTGAGAAATCTGATTGCATTCTGAATTCAGACATGGCAATATATTTTAAGAAAATTGCTCTGTCCAGGGAATACTAATAGATTAACTGCTTCTTTTTGTATGGTCTTGCACAAATTCTCAACGTAGAAATTGGGGATCAGCATAGACTTTTTTTTTTTTCTCCAGTTAGCAGTTCTTACAATCTTGTGATGTTGTCACCTAGGGATGAAACCTTGGAATGCCGTTTTAGCAATAAAAATAGCAGTACTAAGTCTTTATGGTGTTTCCTTGTCTTCACTTAAATGGTATTATTCATTCCAGAAAGTCAAAACACTGTTGTTAAAATCCTTTCAGTGTCTTTTTTAAGTGTCAGTGTTTGATGGAGACTGTGTTCACCACAGTGCAATAGAATTAGTAATCTCATTCCACAATTACTGTACGTTTTCCAAAATAAAGCTTTTTAGGCTTGGTTTTGGGTTTGCAGGTTCTTTCAATTCGTTTTGTTCCCCAGTCTTACTGCTCTTGGACTACACTAATTCAACGTTTCCCTCTTGGCGTAATAAGAAATATGTAAAAGAGTGAGAGCCTTCCTACTAGGAGTAACAGCCAGATCTCATTCCAGCCCCTGCACATTAGCAGAAAATTGAAAAGTTTTTTCCTCTGAAGGATCTATCTTCTAGTCACTCTTACACTCATGTATATAAGCTATTAAAGAAGAAAAGCTATGTTAAAAAAAGAAATCTTCAGATTACCATAGGAAAGTCATCTAGGTGTCAGAGAACTAAGGGAAAGTATTATTTGTGCAGTGGACCACCTAATACACTACAAATACAGTGTATATCTTTAAGTCATCGCAGAAACAAGTCAAATGAGAGTCCTAAGTCTCTTTTTTGTGAATTTATGCATGACAGCCAAAAGATTATGCAGCCTTTCATGTCATACAGAAAAAAACTCCAACCCATGCAGCAAGGAATTTAATTTACAAGGTTTTAACTGCTTGCTATGTTAAAGCAATTAGCCAATAAACACAGAATGGAGATGGCAATATTGAAGTTTACTTGAATAAAAATTTAGGATTTTGATTAACTGAGCAACAGTGGGAAGCCAAGTTTACCACTTCTGTGACTGTCAAATTATGATCATTCTCCCAGTCTATTAAAAATTGGCCTATGCTTAATCTGGATTCCAGTATCCAGCGCCAGTGAACAATATTGATAATGCTCCTTGTTACAAGTTTCAGAAAACAAAAATAGGAATTCTGAGGGCTGTGTCTAGTCCTGGTACCCATTGCCAATGACCTCAATAACCTAGTGAGCCAGTTCTCCAGCTACAATATTCATGTTTTGCCAATATTCTTCCACAACATATTGTTTACTGTCTTAATTCTAGCTTTTTCTTCTAAAGCAAGTTCTCTCCTCTCTACTTAATCAATACTTTCTCAAAATAAATTCTAACTACTCTTAATTTGTTTGCTTTCTGTTTAGGTATGTTGCATGTAGAGGGTGGTATATAAAATAAAATTATATACATTATCATCCATGTGATTCCCATAATAAATTGTTCCCCTTTGTTTTATGTGTTAAGGTGACGTAGCCCCATGGAATTAGTCATTCAGACTTCCATCCAGCAGTGCTGTTTCAGTACTTTATTTTGAAAGTCTCCTAATAGCTAGTTTAAAACAAGTGAACAAATTAAATGTAAAGTGTTCTTTATTAAATAACTCGGAAGGAAAAGCAAATTGTGCGATTAAGAAAGACAACATCATAGTTCCAAAGGATTTTTACAGCAGAAAACAAATAGCGGCAAATGAGCATTTCAGTCTAGCAGCCAAATTGTCCTCATTTTTATGGAGTTAATTTCGGTCCTCAAATTGTGACTTGTTTTTTAAAAGATACGCTGCTAGAAATTCAATGGGATTTGGCGGTCTGTAAATAAAAAAGTAAATCAAAAGCAATTATTTTTGTTGTAAGAACTTAGGTAGCTGAAAAACTAATCACCTTCCCTTAAAAACAACATAACTCCTCCCAAACACTTCTAAGCCTTGATTTAGGGACGACTAACTACCTAGAGTTACACTGTAAACTTCCAGTTTATGTCTAATGAAAAAGTTTTTAATAAGGAATATCAGACACTGTTGGTTCAATGTTACTAAACTTCTACAACAGTTACATACCTAGAACTAGGGTATAGTTTGTAAGCATAAATTCTGTATGTACATCATTGGAAGTTACATGTATTTGCCTATTTCTTTAACTAGTGCTATATAAAGTAAAAGTTAATTATCAGTGTTTTCTTGCTTTATTTTCTTCAAATGGTTATTGTGTAGCTTTGTGCATTAGAGTTGTTTTCATCCTTTCTGGCAACTGAAATGAACACAACAAAACTTTAACAAAAACTTCCAAGTTTGAGAAGTGCTGTAACTTGCAAGTAATCAATAATAAACACTTTTGATCACTGGCCTTAGTTCTTAAGATTTTTTAAAACAGCTCCTCCAGCTACAGTGCATGAGTCATGGTAATCTGGATTCTGTTCGCAGAATAAATTACAAATTTACTTATTCCACACTGGGTCAGACCAAAGGTCTGGCAGTGAGCAAATATGCCTATGAAGAGTGTGGGGGGAAAAAAAAAAAAAGGAAGGAAGAAGTGTGCGCAGACATACTTCTCCAGACCATCCTTTTGGCTTCCAAGCATGTACCAGCCTTCTGAGCTAGCACCTCTAATAGTGCTGGGTGGATTCCTCTAGAACTTTGACCAGTTGCCCCTTGAGCCCAAATAAAACGTTAATGTCTTCAACCCAAGGCAAAAAAATATATAGCTTAATTATGTGACCTGTGAAGAATCACCTCCTTTTGTTCATTATGAATTTGCTACCTGCTTCGCTTACTTTGGTTACTGTATTGGAGGAGATAATAAAAATCCATCCCAATTAATCATTTCTATGCTATTTGTGATTTAATGGATTCCTAATATAAACTCACACAGAAGTCTCTTTTCTAGATATCTATTCAGTCACCCCATATACAGACAGCATTCCATACTTCTGACCACCTTGTCACTCTTCTTTCTTTCTCCCATTCTACTAGAATACAGGGGAATTGGAATTACACACAATATTAAAAATACAAGAACATTAAAAATTTATATAGTGACATTATGCTTGTTTTTACCCCTTCAATTTCTAAGTCCTATCATTCAGAATTTATTTTTGATTAAGCAATGTATTGCCATATACATTTAACAGTTTAAAGATAATTTTTTCAACAAGGGTAATCGTCAATTCAGAAGCAATCATTTTGTCACTAGCATTAGGGTATTTGTTACCCTCTTAGGTGCATCATTTTCTGTTTATTTGTATTCACTCTCTCACTTTTTGTCATAGTTTCAATTTTTGTAACGATCTTCCATCGTTTCACATCAAGTTTATGAAGTTCCTGTGCAATTACTTACAATTGCTCAACTTAAAAAAAAAAAAAAAAAACAGAAAACAAAACCCCCTATCCTATTCTGTAAAACTCGGTATCACTAACAAATATTGTCAACCACTTCTTCAAATTGTTATAAAAGATTCTTTCCAAGATGCTAGTGTTGCGCTCATTTCACCATGAAAATTCACTGTTTACTTCTACCCTCTGTCTTTTATCTTCCCATCAGTTTCTCATCCATATAAAGGCTTTTCCTTTAATCCCACAGCAACTAACTCTTTAAAAGCTTTTAGTGAATGAATGTGCCAGAAACCTTTCGGAAATTTAAACAGATGGTATCATCTGGATTCCTGTTTACGTGTGCTCACTGACTCCTTCAATGAACTCCAAGAGACATACAAGACCTGACAAAAGTTGTGTTGACTCGTCCCAAATATGTCATTTATCCATATGCTCACTATCCTGGATGATAATTTCTACTGAATTCCAGGCACAGTCATCAGATGTACTGGGCTGTTCCCTGAACATTTCTATATTCCTTAGAAAAAGAAATTAGCATCCATTAGTTACTTTCCAGTTCAACTTCAAGCAGAAGATAATATAGCAGAGCTGGTAGTTCAGCTTTTTCACCCCTGAGGTTTTAATATGCTGGACTGATTAGTCAATTTGACCTTGGTGGTTTGATATTCTTAGCTTTTTTGTTTCGTATATGTTCCTCAACCTCTTCTATCAACATTCCAACTTCACTCCTGTGATGAGTCCCCATAAAGAACAACTCCTTCCATAGCGAAGAAACATTAAAAAAAAAGAAAAAAAAAAAGTGTTTGCCTGTAACACAAGTATCCAGACTGTAAGCATGAGGTTTCCACTTCAGACTGTGTTTTATGTTCATTCTGCATCAGAACTCCCACAGATGTCAACGGAAGATCTGCACACTGCTCAGGTATACACATGGGGTATACCTTCCTAGGTGCTCTTTGCCTAATTAGCTGTCTGTACAATGAAGTTCAAATTCACAACTCCTTTTAAGGTTAAGACACAGCTGACGGTTGTTCTGGCTGTAGGTACCATGATGTGATTATGGTTATCCATGAGCTTTTGATAATGTTATTTCGGCAAAACAGAAGTGGCTACATGCAGTATGACTTGCCAATAGTCCAAATACACCAAAAAAAAAATTTGGATAAGATTAAAAGAAATTAATTTTTGGATAAGATGAAAAGAAATTAATTTGGATAAGATGAACAACTGTTTGCTGTTACTGAGGAATACACTTCTACATTGACTGATAAGAGATTTGGGGCACCTTGACAGCACAATCTTGACTCAAAGAATAAACTACCAGTTTGCTTCTTACTGTATTGACAGTGCAGGGTCAGCCTCATCCTTTAGAAAGTCTTTTAATCTCCAAAAGAGATGCATGTCAGGCAGAACTCTGTAATTCCACACTACAAAAATCTTGTTCAAAACTAGAACAACTTGCCTTGCTTCTGTAAGGTCAATTATGTAATAAAATTAATTAAAAAATATATTTTTCCCTCCAAAACCTTTGCAGTAGCATGCTTCATTGAGAGATCACAAAATCAATAAATTAACTCTTGCCACATCATACGAACCTAAAGCGAGAAACACATCTTGCATGGTCAATCATAGTAATTCATAGGTTCATAAACCTGTCGTAATGACTTGCTTACAACTAGCAAAACCATGTCTGGTGTGTGAGATCTGAAAAGGTGACATACTGCCCGAGTTTGAGACCTCCTTTTTTTTGGTAAGAACAGACGGAACACTGAGGCATCTTACCTCTCTTTTGCAAGCACAGCAAGTCCCTGTAGCAAGATAGGTACAACTGTCTGATCCAAGTAGGCACGTGTGGGTAATGACTGAAGATCCACCTTCTGCTTTGACGTTTTCTCTGCATTTATTTTCTCATTTTCTACTATCCTCTAAAGTAGAAAGAAAAAAAAAAAGGTAAACAAACATTGGTAATAGCAGCCACATCTACTTTGAAGCATGAGTGCAAACTGTCCTGGTTTGAGGTAAAACAACCAATTTTCTGTTCAGTAACTTTACATTTTAGCTAAGCCTCTTCTAAACAAAGTACACCTCTCTCTGCAATTTACTGGCAATAACTTCTTCACATCTTGTAAGAAAATTTAAGTACGTATTTTTCCTTGCACAAAAATCTAATCCAGAGGAGCCTTCTGTTACATTCTTACGGTTTGGGAAAACAATGTTAGGAAGTCATAAGTTTTCTAACACCCAATCTCTGCTGTTGTTATTTCTGCTTTTACATTCAGATTGAAATTCTACACTGCTGAGCCAGGAATGACTAACAACAAGAATTGTCCCAATTAAATGGTTCCTGTATGCACACACTGCTAACACAAAATGCTAAAAGCACGAGAAATTCAGGTGAAGCCTGACTTCAACAGAGTCCCCTTTGTCAAGCACTTTGAGACCATGCTCTATTAAAGTATAGATGGGTAACTTAAGAAAAGATATGCTAAATGCTTCCAGGTCAAAAAGTGCTAAATCATTTTACACCATTAACTGTAGTTAAAAAAGGATACCCCACCACTCTCAGTAAACCAAACATATTCAACACAACATACACTAATCTACCAGTACAGGACCAACGTATCCAACATGTTCTGGTTCTGTAGTGGAAGTTGAGGCATAGGGGCAGGCAGTTACCAGGGAGATCAGTCGCAGAGGACGTTTAAAAAAAGTTTCTGCAAAAGCTTTGCATAGAGTAGGAGCTCATAATGGAGGAAGACTGAAGGCATTTCTTTAATGAGGAAGACTAAATAAATGTCATAGAATTATTCTAACCCACACTGTTACCAACAGCGGAGAGAATGGTTTGTGACTACTCTTTCTCAGCATAAGTAATTAAAGACAGCTTGGATTATTCTGATCCAGCATTTCCATTGATGTGAATATGAAAAGAATCCCTCCCTTTGATGCTTTTGTAGAAATGCCATCAAGTCCTCCTATTCCCCTCCCTGTCTGGCTGGCTTTTTGTGCCATGATATATTAATGGAATAATTAACAATCATAGGATACTTCCAAAAAGCCCACCTCATTTAAAGGTTCATTATTTACTTCAGTACCATTTAGTATAAGGGAAGCAACACAACAGAAAATATATTAATTAACAGCCAATTATGCAAGGAACTAGTATCTGGTGGTTCAGTTTCCATTTAACTTTCTTGCGAACATTAAATCTACTGAAGTTACACCCAAGACTCTACATTTTTCCCCTTGATCAGGAATGTGAATTCCACTGCACCTTGCAGCAACAAAATCTTTGTTACCTCTACATTTTCAGTGAGACCATATTCTGAATGGGGATTTTCTGGAACCTGTAAGAAAACCACACAGTCAGCAAAGTGGAAACACTCCTTTTATGCACATAGCATGATTCACATAAAACATTTCTTGCAATACCTGCGGCTGTCCCTCCATAATCTGTTCTGCCTCCATGATTTGAAACGTGGAATTTGCTGGACGTACAGCGATCTTAGAAAGCGAGAAAAGACTTGGTCAGCAGGCTGAGACGAAGACGAGCATTAGCTGACTGATATTGCATCACTTGGTTACTAAGCCACAATTACTAGAGAGCAAACGGAGTTGCTCAGCTCCCCACCCCCTTGCCAAACTTATACAGGTAGACAACCCCTTTTTTCTTTTCTCCCTTCCTTCCTTCCTTCTTTCTTTCCCGGACCCACAGGCCTGCCAGCGCCCCGGGCCCCC